GCTTGATGCCTTGAGTTTGGCGTTTTCGTCTCTTCTGTGTAATGCGAAAAGCAAAGCAAAACAAAGTTGATAACTCAAATACGTAAAGTTTTACATAGTAAATAGTCGTCTAAGTCTACATATAGCGCATAGAAGTATATAATCTTAAAGCCAAGTACATATGTAAATCTATACAGAACACACGCAAGGTCAATGATGTGCACAGTGGGTCGCAGACAATTTGTTTCAGGAATTTGATCAATGCAACTACAAAGGTTTTCCCCATTTTATATAATATACAAATTTCCATTCTCACAGTTTACCTTTTCGTAATCGTTTACCCAGTGATAGAGAGTATACAGGCTTAATGCATTGTCCGCCTTGCTGTCCGTTTGTCCTATATTCAAATTCTAGTTTTAGTCAAGTCGGTTATACCCGCATCCTGATTCTGGTATCCCAACCAATCTGTTCGATAGAGCGATCCGATTAGCTTAGTACCGCCCCTGCTCCACTGGGCACACCATCGTAATATTAATAAATCCATTGATCTTTAGTAACAGTAAAATGAGGTAACGCTGACGAGGGCAGGAGCGCCGAATCGTACAGGCTCCCAGGAGCGCAAGCAAAGAGCGATATTTAATAGTCAAAGGGTCAGATAGTCGTTGGCATCGGCCCCCTGTAGGGAGTTTAGCGAGCGAGTTTAACTGTATAATTATTTACGACTGCTGTAGGATTACATAGTATGGTAAAGAAACGTTTAGCCATGTTTACAAATACATGTATGAATTTACAGATATATTTATATTATAGTAGCCCGTCACACTTACGGGCGTTTATAAATACGTACGTACATTTTTGTACTCCCATAATATTTATTGGAAATTGTGTTTGTTTTTTTTTTCTTTCCGTTCTTCAAGTGAAAAACTCTTCCAATATTCGTTTAAATGTGTTGCATGTTTTGCTGTAATTTGTTGTGTATGCTTTTAATGCTTTTCAACTTTGCTAAGACGAAATACAATAGTTCCGTCAATGCCATATTAATATTAATTAAAATAACAAGTAAGCTTAGGAATCCGAACACGAGAAAGTGAACAAAAGTAAACTAGATCTAAAGTAAAATTACTAGAGAAGCGCAAACAATTCCCCCTGTAATGTGTAATGAATGGTATGCAACATACCCAAAAGCATAATATCATGATTTCAAATACGTAAACTATTAATACGATAATAACTATAATACAAACAGAAAACAAAAGAAATGTCCTTTTGCCAGTGAACAAACAAGATGTAAAAGAAAAAAAAAAAAATTAAAAACTGAAAATTTATTGTAGGTGTGTGAAAGGCGTTGAGTGTTGAACGCTAAATAATTAAATTACAAATAATTCTGAAATACGTATTAGCTTAAGGTTGCCACAACAACAACAACATCTCCTACAACAAAAATTGCAGTTTAACTAATGAATCTAAAATACAGCAAAAAAAAAAATAAATAAATAAAAAAAAAAAAAAGGAAAACACTGAGTAAACCAAGTGAGAGACGCGGAATCCAATATACGTAGAGTTTTAACTTCCCAAAATTAAATTTACGTAGCGTAAACAATAAGAGAATAATAAACAAGTTGATTAAATGTAAAGCAAGTTAAAAGTAATCGAAAAAGTATATATATTTATTTATCATACTTGATGTGAAGAAAATCTTACACACACGCATATTTACAAATACAAAATAAAGCAAAGTAAATTAACGACGAAAATATATTAAAAATATTACCTTAAATATACTTATACATATATATATAGCCATATATATGCAGCCCATATACATATATACGATGTATATACATATACACGTACTTATACATATATACATATATGATGTATGTATTCATACGTATGTATGTAGCATTGCATTCACATTTTGCACACACGTCTATCTTCACTCGAATATCATTTCAATTTTATATTTTCTTTCTCATAACGGCCCCGCCCCCTAATTGGTTCAAGTGATATTATTATACTATTTCATAGACATGTTAATTTCTTATTGAATTTTGTTATGCACTGCGAAAACTCTCAACTCTCGCATTCTGAATGAATGGAGATCTTTTGGGTTCGATTGACTTTGTTTGCCACGCACTTTTTGTTTCGAAATAATTTCGGAAGATTTCAATAAAAATCTACTGTGTAATTGTTTAGTTAAATGGCCTAGAAAATGTTGCGCATTTTGTTTAACACACGCTATTGCAAATATTTAAATATTTTTGTTTGAATTTGAACTTTAATGCTAAGATATATTTCTGTTAGTTCTAGTTTAAGTTTAGTTGTGACAAATTGTGTATTATATGATTTTATGCGATTTCAAATGAATACGAGAATAATTAAAAACAAAACCTTAGAACCCTTGTTTCATTTATTTCGCACGTATCTGAAAATTAACAACAACAATAACAAAAGCCCATCCAAGACATTGACACCGACCTGTCAGTCACAAAATTTTACAAGAATCAATTAGTCTAAAAACTCTAAGAACTTATATACGTAGAAGCAACAACAAACGTAGTTATAAACAAATAAATAAGCTAAACAAAAAAGGAAAAAGCACACAAACGCGAAAATATTAATTATACATACAGATGTATTAACAAAATTTACTCAGTCAGCGAGCAGTTGAAGCAACATCGACATATACGTAATTGAATGATATTCGAAGCCAATGAAGGACTTGCAAATATGTATTACAAAGGAATATTATTAAACAACAACAACGGCAAGAACAACAACAACAACAGCAACAGCACTTGTAAATAAACGGCAGTGCACTGCACATGTTATAAGAGACGATCGCATTTGAATGGGCGTTTGCTCGCTTTAAAGAGGTTAGTCATTCGAAGTATTCAAACATCATACATATATGACAGTTTATGACAAACCTAGTCTTAAGTAAACAACAATGAAAATTAACAAAAATAAATAACAAATAATTCCATAAACAAAAACAGTCTGTTATTCGTCATCATCTCAGCTAAGATCGTAAATACCTTAAAATAGTGTCATCTAGTGTCTGCTAGGAATTCAAATCGAATATAAAGTTCTATAAAGCCAATAATACAAAATAATACAGTAAGGGGTCTATAGAGTTTCACTTTTAGCCACCCAGCTATTTTGAATTATCAATGAAATAGTTGTAAAACAAGCAAGAAAGCTCTTGTCGAGACTGCCCAGCAACGGGATATTGAATATTCCGAGGAACTGATAATTCAATAATTCTGTGATTCTTTTCGGTTTGAAAAAAAAAACCACTTGCAGTTTCGATCTCTAAAGAAGAAGAAAAGGATTTAATTTTCTAACTGATTTTTAGTAAGCTTTTCAATCAATCATTGAAACGGGAGTAGTTATCGATTTTTGGAACTTACAAATAAAATTCAAGTCTCTTGATCGAATTTATAGTGTATACCACGCCTCCTCCTGTTATATCAATAAATAAATACCATATTCGTTATGTTAAACCCAACATCACGCTGTAATCATTAGTTCGTCAAGCTCTGGAGAACTCGACAGCCAGATTAACAAACGACTTCCATTGATTGCATAGTTCGCAAATCCCATATTGCCGCCAGTCACTGGACTGGAGCTCCTTAATGGCTAATTTATGTTTCACGTTGCGCACAAATTGCAATTCCCATCGCCTCATTTGGAAGCTGCGAATATTAATTAAGGCGTTGCGTATTCGGCAATTGATTTGGCTGCTGCCTGTGCGAATAGGACAAGAAATCAACCCGGAACGAGGTAAGCAGCGAGGACTTATGTATATGGTTTGGCTTATGCTATCCAATTTGCAACGATTACCACGTACGAGATAAATTTTGCAAAACGTCTTTAATTAAATTTAATTAATGCGGCAACAACTCAACGGATTATGATAATAAGACTCCATATAACGAGGCCATTTACGGCAAACAGCCGCAGATGTAAGTGTGTGCGTGTGCCCTGAAAGGACCAAAGTAGTAGCTCCGAAATGAGTTAGAGAGAGAGAAGGAGGCAGTGAGAGTGAGTGGGGAGGGGTGAGATGCCAGACGTTGTCCCGTTTGGAGCAACGACAGCGTAATGGCTGCGTCAACGAGCTGCGTCTTCGGCGCAAACGAAACGGAAACGGAAACGGAAACACAAGCACGCATAATGGCTCATGTATGCAATAAAAGAAAGTTTCGAAAATACCAAAATGGCGTTTCAAAGATTGCCCCATTGATGATGAGTGGAGTGGAGGCGACGGGGGCAGAGAGCGGCAGTGCAGAACTCCTACTCTCCTTCGCTGGGCGCGTATGTTGGCATGCCAGGCACGTAGCTCGGCATAAGTTCACATTTGGATGCTGTTATTAGAAAAGTTTCAGCGCTAAACTGGCCCCAAAGACGATCATCGATGCGATAAGGCACCATTCCGAGCATAACATTCCACTACATATGAGTGCAGAAACAAAGCACGAGGACTGCCATTACAGCGTATGTATATACATATACATATACTACATATGTACACATATGCAGGGCAGGCTCCAGCAGATGTGAATATCTGAAAATTATTTCTGATTGCCTATTTCGAATTCGGCTGCACCTACAACAATGATTTGGAGCCAAATTGACCACTCGTTATGCAAAACACACACTTTTAGCTGGAAATCGAAACTATCCAGCTGGCTATAGTATGAGATATAGAACAAAACTCAAGATGAAAACTTATCTGCAATTTGAATTGCTGTAGTCGCGGCTGTCATCTTTGGCGAAAACTTGTGCTATGAATACTTACAGCTTCCGATGATAAAACAAGTCTGTCGCAAAATGTCCATAAGCGGACAGTAAGCTCTGCTCGGGAGTGTTCGACTAGAAGATACTCTTGACCACGGCCAACACGTGAGTATTCAAGCATCCCGCCTGGCCGGCATCTATAGATACGTCAGCTCTTCCCATATCATAAAAATGTACTTGAGAAATTCAAATCGCCTGTCAAGTC